AACCTCAGCCGGGTGGATTTCTTCGATTGTACTGACAACCTCATTGATCTGATCCTCATTCAAGGCCACGCATTCAACATAACAACCAAGGAAGAGTACTTCTGCCCCTGCTACATCCCCAGGAACATCAAAAGTCTCCACTTTATCTCCTCCAATCCTCTCATCAGCCTAATCCTTCTCCTTATCCCATCAGAAGAATACTTACTTCCTGATCAGTACCAGTGGAAAGAGCCGCCATCTTCCATTTCCGGAAACTACTTCAAAACTCCCAGCAATTCCAGTTTCACCTCCTCCTACAAAGGTTTTCCCAACCAGAAGTTTAAGAAGGACTTGAGAGAAAAACAAAAGGTAGATGACCAACTCTTCATCATTGAAGAAGATGACGATATTGAAGATGGCAGCAATCTAAGTGAAACCTCATCCCTCTTCTATGAAAAAGCACCTTTCAATATGACCAAAGCGTCCAAGTCACCCTCCACTGACTACATCCATATCCATGCCAAACACGAAGAGGAAGATGTTGAGCCAGTAACACAAGATTATGACACGACGGAAAGACCTTCCATCGAACAGTCCTTAGTATATGACCGTCCATCCAGGAGAATGAGAAGTTCTGCAGATATGTACAGCAATGAGCTGGAGAGAGATGTCTTGGTGTCTCATTACTCTCAGCCTCGCTTCCCCCTAGAACACAGCCTCAAACTGGAAGATCTTTCTTCAGCGGGCAGCAGCTTTGACAGCGAATATAGAATGAGGAGACATCCTAGCTTTTATAAGGACCCAACCAGATCCTTTTTTGAACCAGAGACTCACCAGGAATCCCTGGAAAATCTCGAGCCAACACCGCAGAGTTCTCTCATCACTCAGCTCTTCAGACAACTCGATCTCGATGAGATTGAAACAAGTTTGATTGACCTGGAAACAGAAGATCATCTCAAACCGCCATTTCTGGACGATGAAGCCATCAACGCCAAACTATACCAGGTACCACCAGATCCTCTTACCTCCAGGCAGTATACCGAGAACAGGGATTCAATGGCCAGCGAATCACTACTCTTTTCAGGATCTTTTTTTTCTGACGATGAAAATACAGATCAATGAGAACCATTTTTCAATCGCGAGAATAAAAATACGGTAAAGTTTTGTTAACGTTTTAAAAACACAAACACTCAGACAACACTAACAAGATTTAGAACAGGCCATCTCAAGCCATTTAAGATGGAATATAACAAAATCTACCCCACTTGTCCAAAATGTAGCTTGGCACCTGCATGCAGCTCCAGAACACATTTTGGCTTGCATTAGATGCACTAAACAGGACCTTTGGAAGAGGCCACTGCCTTTCATCAACAACTTTAGGAGCATGGACTCATGGAATTCGTGTAATCTTTGTACAAGGGGATAAGAAACAACAACATTGATGATCTCTACTTATCCCCATAAAACATTTCAAGATTCACCAACTCAATACACTTTTTTTTATTAACCCTAGTACATATGGTACAGGCCATGATAATCATGGTTGGTAGAAGTTAGTGACTGCTTTTACTGTAAGTGCACCACATGTCTATACATATAAAAAGCAGTTCGACTTTTGTACTTACAAATGTGCCAGATCCCCTTTTGGTTACTTTCATTCGCTGATGGGGTTGGACTTTTGCAAGAATCAAGAGCCATTGGAGCATTTTATTTTTTAATTAGAAAAAGTGCCAAATGCAGGATTTGATTCCATGTCGTAGCAGTCATATATCAACAGTTTAGACCAACCTTCCTCCGACCCCCTAACTCAACACCCTAATAGGACTGAGTGGAGATAAGAATGAAGACAATTCACAGGATTATGATAATTTGTGAAGGTGATGATAAACTACAGTGTCACTAGACAA